TTGTCAGTTAAATTAAAATTATTAATTTCTCACCAATTTTTAAGAAATTGTTTGGTGCATAACTGGAAAACATCTGACACCCCCATGCATTTCTAAATACAATAAAAGCTCCAGCATATACAAAATAATGCACATGAGTCACAGCTTTGATATTTCAATATTAGTGAACTTATGCGTTAAACCCGTATTTATTATAAACATTTTCGAAGAATATTTCAAAAGTGAAGCTTTACATATGATCATGGTGTATATCAAAGAAAAAAAATCCTAACAGTGTAAGTGAGATAAAGGATAAGTATTTTACTCGCCTACTTTTTCCAGCAGTATGCTTTGAAAAATCAGAAAAATTACAATACATTGCCTAAGACGATTTCAGTACAGTGGTACCTCAGGATACGAAATTAATCCGTTCCGAAACTGAGATCGTATCATGAAAATGTCGTATGCTGGGGCGTTCGTAACCTGAGGTACCACTGTATTGCACACAAAATAAAACAATTTAAGTATGATTTAATAATTATTACTAAATACTTTAGAAAATGGAAATTAAATCACACAGATAAGTAAATAGGCTTACTCTATAATTTTCTGTGCTAAACTAAACATAAATTAATGTAAAATTTTTTAGATTAAAAGAATGCTTTAATTTAAGCAGGTCTCATTGTCATAGAATAACATAAACAATTATAAACTTGATATTACTCAATGCGTGATGCATTGAGTAATTTTCATTACTCAATGCATCACGCATTGAGTAATGAAAATAAATTGAAATAGTTACTGATGTCATGAATCCATCATTTTGCCACACTCCCTTGGCTTGTGTGATCCCCAGATTTGTCACCCATCAAGCATTTATGGTACAGTATCAGATGGGATACTAACTTCAGTCATCTTCAGGAGTGTGAAGGGTCAGGAATGGGTAAATCTGTCATAGGATAGCATATAGTGCTTGTATGCCTCCATGCCTGATAATATCACCTCCTGTATTCAGGAAGAGGTCCTACATGGTATTAAAGTTTCCTTTAAATTGAACCATTGTTGCACAGGAAATTATTATTATTTTGTTGTCACTTATTACCATCATTATTACATTTACACAAATAAAGTTTTGATTCTAACATTTTTCTTGGTGCATAACAACTTTTCTGTCAATGAGTGTATANCATAAAGGCGCATCTTAGGGGAGTAACTGTTTTTTGTCTAAAGAATGCAGTGTCTGAGAATTCGCGTGATAGGAGAACTGCTCCAACGAATTTTCGCTTGAAAAAAGATGTTTCATTTCGGATCGAGTTTTGATGGTCGTCAAAGTGATTCGTCTTCATTACTTATTATCTTGGCTTGAGGGTTACTTTCTGATTTTATGTCCAAAAAACATAAAACTGGAATGACTAAATAAGTTGCAACACACTCATGTTTGTTGAACCAGAATCTTTTTTTCCTTTTCTTTCACAGGCCACAACCGTTACAATGTTGAGCTGCACACTCACTTATTTGAGAACGCAAATTTCTAATTCGTGTTCTTATAAAATCCGACCTGTTACAATAGCGAAGGCACGCCCAAACAATACTGAAATATGTTTGGGCTTACTTCACGTGACACAATGCAATGTATGCTGTTTTTGCAATAATTGTATAAAACCAATTTTTCGCTACACGTCACATTTCTTTCCAGAATGTTCATAGCTGCATGGCTTTACAACAACAAATTTTGTTGAGCCATGACATTTGGTCAGGTTCTAGCCCTCACTTATCAGACATTTAAAAATTCTAGTTTTAGACGGGGTGAAACGGGAGAGGCGTCAGCTCTCTTGTCTGCTTTAGATGCTTTATTCTGTTGGATAACTTTTATTCAGGCCACGCTGTAGCCACATAATTAGAAATCTGCATTTTGCATTTATGTAGAATACAGTTCAGATCTGTAGGCTATGATGGAAATGGTGGATTAATATCAATTAAATATTTTGTCGAACTATTATAAAATCATGCGAATGCTGAGCGCATACATCTTCATACTAGAATTTTATCATCTGGCCAGATTCGTTTCTTTTCAGCATTCACCAAGTGCTTTATTCATATACCGGTGAACTTCACGCTTTTGTCAATGTAATATATCGTAGTCTATAACTAAATGCAATGTCACGAAATAGTTTTTGCATAAACATTGTTAGATATAAGCTCTGTCAGTTTTTTGTTGAAAGCAAAGTAGATAAGCAGTAATATAACATAAATGACAACATCTCAAATCCTGAGTAGTATGCAATAAATCACCAAACGATCGCCTAAATATCGGGCTATAATAAGGCTAATTAATTGATTGGTATAAATTAATTTGGCACTAGTGGTAGACGTTATGCGCCATCTCTTATATAAATTAATAATTAGAATTAAATAAATAAATTATTAAATAAATTTAGAACCTTCTGGAAAAAAGAACTGGCCCGGGATGGGGCTTGAACCCACAACCTCCACTTGCCGTGCAGTGCGCTTGTCAGTTACATTAAAATTATTAATTTCTGACAATTTTTAAGAAATTGTTTGGTGCGTAACTGAAAAGCATGTGACATGCCCATACACTTCTAAATACAATAAAAGCACCAGCATATACAAAATAATACTGATGAGTCACAGCTTTGTAATTTCAATGTTAGTGAACTTATGCCTTAAACCCGTATTTATTATAAACAATTTCGAAGAATATTTTTAAAGTTAAGCTTTACACATGATCATAATGTATATCAAAAAAAAAATCCTAACAGTGTAAGAGAGATAAAGGCTATGTATTTTACTCGTTTACTTTTTCCTGCAATATGCTGTGAGAAATAAGAAAAATTACAACACGATAAGACGATTTCAGTATTTGTAACATCTTAAATACTTTTATGAAATACTAGCAGACCCTGCCACGCGGTGATGTGGCTCAAAATGTATCTATTATAAATGTATAACACTTCCCCCGTGGAAAAGAAATTTTTCGAAAAATTTCTTCTTAGTGTACATTCTCTTGACGTACCCTATTAAAACGCAATCAAAAACGCAAAACCCCGCATCTAAAATAATATAATAGAGACCAAGTTCTTCACGGTAAGCCTTAATTCTGTCTCTCTCCCCTGCGGGGAAATATCGAAAAATCCCTTCTTTGTGTACATTGTGTTGACGTGCCGTATTAAAACGCAATCAAAAGCGCAAAAACCTGCATCTAAAATAGTATAAACAGAAGCAGAGTTCTTTACCGTAAGCCTTAATCCTAACCATCTCCCTTCAGTGGGGGGAATTTCGACACGTACAGTAGACTCTCCTATAACGCGAGTTCCAATAACGCAGATTCCTATGACACGGCAAAAAATTGTGGCAGTATTCTTATAAAGGGACGCGTAAAACGCGGTAAAAGGTCATCGCCAACTCGTCATCGCGGACGAGCAGCCGAACTATTTTCCACCGTCTAGTGCCATGCTACAGAGAGTTTAGGCGAGTCAGTTGAGTTTAACTATTGTCTTTACAGTATTATATATAAATTATATATAAATTAGGTACTGTACATATAATTATATATTAATTATATGTACATATAATTAATATATAATTAATGTACATATGTTAATGTACATATAATTATATATTAATTATATGTAAATTAGGTACTGTATATATAATTATATATTAACTTATTGTAACTTTGTTATAATTAAATATATAATTTCCGCCGTCTAGCGTGGCGCCACGCTACGGAGATTTTTACGCTAACTATCGTCTGTCAGTATGTAAATTAGGTACCGTAAGTCTAATACAGTACTGTAATTTTATACATTTCTTGT